GTCGCGTTATTACAGAAATAAACCTTCAGATAAGAAAGTCACTATTAGCGAGCATTCTACAAATTTTGTGGAATTAATATTATTACGTTTGTATTTTTCGCTTTAAGTGGCAAATACGACGAGTATGCTCGCCAAAAACAGCTGACTGCTTAAGGATATGTACTATAATATTCTTGATTAAATTATATATTTTAGGAAAGTGTTGTGTTTAAAGGAAATACGAAGAGATTCGAACGCGTACAATTGAATCACAGTAACTTGCACAGTTTTCAAAGAGATTGCGACGGCTAACCGGTTGATTAAATGAAACTGAAGCAAGAAAATTAAAATCTACCGTAGGAAACGTTAGTTTAACACTTTCGTATTCTAAAAACCCTGGTAACTTTCAGTTCGTTCAATTTATTAGAATAAAAATAAATTTCAAAAACAAACCGAACAATTCTTAAAACGTGTTAAAATTTGTATTCGAATTTTCAAAGAATTCCGCAGATTGGTCGCGGTTGCTTTTTTCCATGCACTGACACAACGATTCGTTCACGATTATTGTACCATTCGACGGATTCGTATATACAACCGACGGTGGTGCTTTTAATAAATATGCAAATCTCCTATGTATGTATATAATATTAACACGCGCTCCGGAATCGGTCCTAATCCCGATTAAGAGGAAACTTCGCCTTGCCGCTCGATCTTATTAAACCGAACACGGTCCGCGTGTATCCCGCCTGTGTAAGTGTCGCAGGAACAAGCGACTTATCAGATTTTATTAAACAATAAGCCCGCGATGATGAGTCAGTTCGCTAATACGTAGGCGTAGTTTCGTCTGGCGAGGTCGTGCGAGCAGAATTATACAACGCAGCGCGCTCCGAGCTCATCTTTGAAACTATGTTTAGAGAACAAAGTGTAATAATAATTCTTGGTCTATGGTACGAATGGATATTTCGGACGCAAGAAATACAACGAAAATGGCGGAAGCTGTATCGTTTCGGAGGATCGCGAAAAATTCTCGGCAGGCGGAGACGCTCTTATCGAATGGATTAGCCACTAGAGAAGCGTCGGTATTCCAGCCGACGACGAATTTGGATAGAACGCGAGCAGAAGCCAATTAAACTTTGGCCGGAAGTTCGAAAGCGTTTCACGTAGCCCGCGGCTGCGGCGGCGGCGGCAGGTACGAAGGGGGACCCCGGAATAGAGAAATATCTCTACAGCGACGTCGTTTCATTTAAATGAAAATTAGACGTCCCGTACTCGCGTCATCGGCACCTCCTGTGCCTTCCGCGAAGCGGAAAATCAGCGACGATAGAAGCTACCATTAACTTCGTCGAGCATCGGTAAAATTGAAGCAGTGACATTCTTATAGAAAGCATTAGAAGGTTCTCGAATGTTCGAAATATTCGACCTCTTCGCTCGAAATATTCATATCGTATTTATCTTCTGTTACAACCATCCATTTTCTGGTTCTAATATGTGACGTAACTCGTGCGACGATTTTCATGTGAATCGTCCGTTGTATTTTGTGCTCGGCTAGTGTATCAAATGGTAAAAACACGGACATATATGTTCTTACTAGAGAAGGAGTAACCAAACAGTTGTCGCAATCTCTTTGAAAAGTGTACGTGCTGCTGTTACAATTAAGTTGTAACGAAAAGATCGTTTAATTTTTTCATTTTGTTGCCTAACATTCGTTCATTTACTTAAAATAATCAGTTAGCTATACTCGTAGTTAGCTATACTCGAATATACTCGTCGTAGCACAAAGTGCCGCAATTTCTTCATGACGAGTATACTCGTCGAAAACGGCTGTTCGTTCGATAAAATGATAGTATCTATTTCCTATCATTCGTAACGGATTTGTTATCGGCGACGGGAATGTGTGCGGCGAAAATGGTGAAACCGTGTACACGTTCGGAAGAATCGGCACGCTAAAACTGGCACAACGTTCTGTTCAGTAAATTTTAACACTTTATCGTCCGGTCGTGGTTGAGGCTGCCACTCAGTAAGGACTGGCTTAGTCGCGCGCGCATTTGCTCCCAGTACCGGCTAAATTTTCGCTATTCATTGTGTTGTGCTTATTCCTTTAAAAATAATAATAAATAATAATAATTATTATAATTATAATTCATAAGGATATGGGGAGGTCAGCATACAGGAGGTCAGCTACTAACAAAACAGTAAAGAAGCGAAAACCGTCGATAGCTAAAAGTCGATTAATAGGCTATCGGTCGATAAGCATTGGCAATCGAAAAGCCGATTAATAGGCTAGCGATCGATAAACATTGGCAATCGAAAAGCCGATAAATAGGCTAGCGGTCGATAAAGTGTTAAGAGAACGACAAATCTCGGAAGATCTGTATATCTTTATCTGTATAATATATAATAATATATTATCATATATAAATAATATATTATCTGTATATAAACAGCTTCGATCATTCGGAATGGATTAAAAAAGAGCGCAACTTATTAGAAATTCAATTCGGAGTACGAAAAGATGAAGAACTAATCTTTGTCCGAGTCGTCTATCCTGTTTGTACATGTGTTCATGTTCCTCTAATCGAACTGAAAACTTACCGATCTCGATGAAATGAAAGCGAGCATTAGGATTCGCTTGTAAGTATAATATAATTCCGTATTACTGTGGTAATTTTTTAACATCTCTGATCACAAAAACGCAGATAACGTGGAACATAATATTCAACGGAAAGAAAAGTGCTCACTTGTGTCTAAGAGACCTCTGCAAAGAAACAAGTTGGCAGGATTTCTTTGCGACCTGGAAAAATCATTAAGTGAACGGTAATGCTGAGTAATGTGCCAACCCAATACATTAGAAGCTTCGCAGAGATACTCTAAAATGGATCTCGTTGTTGATCGAATTTCAGTTCGATTGCTGAAAACGGTAAACAATGACTAATGGCGAATAATGGTAAGATTCGACGGCGTGGCCGAGGCGCCGGGGGAATTGGAAACGGAAAAAGTGGAACATGCCGTCGATCGAAGATATTTTGAGAACCTGGATAGAAGTTCGGATGATTCGTGAGGTGCCGAGAAACGGCAAGATGGAAGCCGAGGTGTCCTCTCGAGTGTTTTCGCAAGGCTGGAGTCGAACCCTTGGAAAAACAGACGCCAAATTGAATCCCTCGTCTATAAGAACGTGATGTCTCCCCCTTATCTATATAACTCTACCACTCGAGCCTTTTCCGTCAGGGTTTCTCGAGTTTCTTCGGCCACGGATTACACACCTATCCGTATTCCTCGGGTGAAAAGTATTGCCGCGTTTTCTTAGACGCCTTCCGGCGAATAATTTCTGCCCCTTAATTGCGTGCGCCATTGTCGGGGCCATTACTGTTCCAAAGCGACCAACGACAGTCGGCTATGACGATGTACACGGTGTTTATCAAGTATGCATTTCAGTTACGAACGGAACGTAGACAATTGGATCGCTGGTCTTTATGCGAACGCTCATTTTGTGAGAATAAGAGTGGAATCGGAGTGTCTTCTCGCGATTCGAAGTTTGTTAATGGAACGACTCTTTAAAAACGCTATTAGCAACATTCGTCAGGCTGCTTAATTATTTATGATACGTGTTTGTGAACGCTACGAAGTTAGAAACTAGAATCTGTCTACTCTCAAGTGTACGTAATAATTACGCTGTAGACTTTATTTATTTATAACAGAAATGACTAGGTGAAATACAAAACTGTGAAGATATTAGAAGATTCTGGGAATATTTTTATAGTACGTACAACTTATTAAAAGTATTAAGAGATAAAAAGACATTTTCTTACAATTAACTTGGACGATATTTATTTTGCACGAAGATCCACACAGTCTGCTAATAATATTTTAAACATTCAGGACAAATTAAGTAACGCGGCCATTACAGTTTAATTCCCGAAGAGTAATAACGAAGATAAACAGGTACAAAACGAAATATCAACGATTTTACCAGGTTTAGAATAAAATGAAAATATTGTTAAGTATCATTCAACTGTTTAGTACTAATTTTTAAACAGATGCCGTATTTAAGATACTTATCTAAAAATGTTTACTTCACATACGTAACGATAAAGAATCGACTTATAGAGCAGTTTCGATATATTCTTAAAACCATGAAACATTGTCAAAGAAAATGGAACATATTCGGTTAAGCAATAGCGTTAAATCTGTTTCGAATGAATTCCCAATTTACGCGGAAGGTGAAACCATTAAACCAAGCTGACAGTTCGAAGTCGATACATGAACCGAGAGAAACCCGTCGGTGGTGGTGGGGGGATGACTACTCAACACTGTTTTTCTCCCAACAAGACAAGTATCCACCCATCGCCGGCAATAAAACGTACAAAAGCAAATACATAATTTACCACAACAGCGTCCGTGTAACTCCAAAATCGCACTCGTGAGAGCGAGAGACCGGTCACTGGGCCCCCGAAAGCGAGCACTGCGATGGTCTGAACCGGCGGAAACGCGCGAATCGATCGGACCGTACGTAGCACCACGTGGTCGCGTCACTTCCCGATTCCCTGGATCCTGGATCGCTCCGGTCCCGAATTCTCCGATCTCGAGGGCTCCGTTATGCGATTCGAGGCGCGCGAAAAATCCTCGGGGATCGAAATCGTTGCGCGGAAAAGTGTCCGACGGTAGCGTCGGCGTCGACACACGCGCGCGTTAAAAATTTCGCGAGCCTCTCACACCACGCGGGGCGACGGCTCGTTGTCTCGCTTTTGTTGCGTCGGCCCTGCGGTGGCCGCGAGGGCGTGACTAGATTAGGGTCGTCGTTCGGTCGTTGGCAACGCGGGCCGCATAGGCGTCCACGCCGGCCGGGACGAGGCCTGCGGTTCGATTGGCCGGCCGCCGCGGGGTGGAGTCACATGATCCGCGTCAGGCCGCGCCGATTGGCCGTACGCACGGCGGTCGGCAGGTCCCGAGTCGCTCTCGTGATTTTTCGACGAGAGGCGCCACGCCACGAGCCGCGCAGCCGTGCTCGGCCGACTCGGGACACTTCGGTCGCTCGCGAGGCCGAGGCCCCAGTGTGTTTTTACTCGGGGTTGAGTAAACTCCGGCCTGTTGTGTATCATAATACGCGTGCACGCGGGTTTACGGGTTAGCCTGGCATCGACCACCGGATCGCAGCCTCGACTCGCGCCACGCCGCCTGATCTTCGGCCGCGTCGTGACCAACTTCCTAACCGGACACGGAGAGAGGAGTCGTCAACAAAACACCGAGCGAACGAACGACGGCGGTTCCGCCGAGCCGACGGTAGATCGCCGATCATCGATCGGGGATATACGAGTGAGTGACCGACGGAGACCGACCCCCCGGTGAAAGTTCCGAAACGCGCTTCTTGTGAAACAGAAAAAGAAAAGAAAAAAAAGAAAAAGTGCGATCGGACCCGATCACAGTGAGTGAACTAAAATTCTTCGAAACCAGTTGGTGATGTCAACTGTCGCGACCCCGGAGGATTGATCGAGGTGTTCCGCATTGTGTCTCCGGCTGGGGCCCGCTGAGAATCTTCCTCGACGGAGCGTGTCCCTGGTTTGTTTCAGTCGGTGTCGGCGTGCCAGCGAAGATGCACACCCTGTTCGGAGAGCAAAATGCTTACTATCGCCACGCGCCCGCCGTTCCCGTTGGTATGGGCACCCCGTCGTACCCGGGCGTGGGCGCTACCCCAGGCTACTACGAGCCGTACCGTTACACCGGGTACGCCACCGCGTCCGGCTATCCAGTCTCGGGTATCGCCCAACAGCACATCCACCACCCGGGTAAGGACATGGTTAAACCGCCGTACTCGTACATCGCCCTGATCGCGATGGCGATACAGAACGCCCCCGATAAAAAGATCACGCTGAACGGTATCTATCAGTTCATCATGGAGCGGTTCCCGTATTATCGCGAGAACAAACAGGGCTGGCAGAACTCGATCAGGCACAATCTCAGCCTGAACGAGTGTTTCGTGAAGGTGCCCCGCGACGACAAGAAGCCAGGAAAAGGAAGCTACTGGTCGCTGGACCCGGACAGCTACAACATGTTCGATAACGGCTCTTATCTGCGTCGTCGTAGACGTTTCAAGAAGAAGGACGCGCTGAAGGAGAAGGAGGAGGCGCTGAAGAGACAGGGCTTGGTGCCGGAGAAGCGCAGCCAGGAGGAGGCCAAGCCCAACGGCATAGCGATCGCGCCGCCGTCGGACTCCGTGACCAAGAAGCTCGGTGTTCTAGAGACGACGCTGTGCAAGCCGAAGAGAGAGCCGGTGAACGACACCGGGAGCCACTGCATGGCGGTGCAGGCCAAGTACGGTTTGCACAGTCCGATTCAGGACGCGAAAACCACGGCTGCCACGACGACGGCGGCCGTCGCGATATCCGGCCAGAGCGTGATACAGAGCGCTCTGGGTCATCAGGTGCACCAGGTCCATCAGAGCCATCAGGACGCCATCCAGGACGTGTCCATGGGCCTGGACCCCACCAGCTTCAGCGTCGACGCTCTGATGACCACGCGGGAGAACAACGCCGGCCTGATGACCAGGGAGAATCAGCACCACACGCACCACCCTCACGGCCTCCAGCACCCGCACCCTCACTCACACTCGATCATGACGAGCAGAGAGTCGATGGGCACCGGGGTGGTGTCCAGGGACCACTTGGCCGCCGTTTGCACCACCACGACCACCACCACCGCCGCCGTCGCCGCGATGATGGCCACCACCGGCTACGGGCACGGCAGCACCGTGTCAAGGAGCAACGGATCGCCGCCCGGAAGCATGTACGCGCCTTACTGCACGCCTACCGCCGGTTACATAATGGATCACGCGGAATACAACTCGAGGAACCACAACAACACCGCCGCCGCGCATTCACAGTGGTACCAGGAGGCGGCCAGCCCCGACGCCGCCGCCATTTATCAGGACACCCAATCGCCGAGCTGTCAGCTTTATAGGTTAGCAGAAAACATTCTTTGGCGCCATTGGTCACTTGGTTCGCGACGATACGGTTTTACTTGCGTCACCGATCCGTTTCGCCGGCCAGAAAAATGAACGGCGATTTTCAATACAAAGATCCCTTTCACGCGCTTGTCCCTCTACGAAAGCAACTCCTCGCTTTCCATACGCTTATTACTTTGATTTCGTTTTTGAAGTCGTTTTCTTTTTTTTTGTAAAATACTGTCGTGAAAGATCGCTCTGTAATTCGACGAGATTGTTCGAGGTTATGAAATCTTTTGGTGAGAAATCGGGGTTATGGAATTATTCACTTATTACTAATTTCATTTTTAAAGTCGTTTTCTTTTTTTCTTTCCATTTTTTGTTTGTAAAACACTGTCGTGAAAGATCGCTCTGTAATTCGGTGAGATTGTTCGAGGTTATGAAATCTTTTGATGAGAAATCTGGGTTATGGAATTATTCGCTTATTACTTTGATTTCATTTTTAAAGTCGTTTTCTTTTCTTTTGTAAAATACTGTCGCGAGAGATCGCTCTACAATTCGACGAGATTGTTAGAGGTTATGAAATCTTTTGATGAGAAATCGGGGTTATGGAATTGTTCGCTTATTACTTTGATTTCATTTTTGAAGTCGTTTTCTTTTTTTTGTAAAATACTGTCGCGAAAGATCGCTCTATAATTCGACGAGATTGTTCGAGGTTATGAACTCTTGATTTTGGATTGGGTCATTTAAATGACCACCCAAATTCTGATCACCCAAATCAAGATGTACGAGAATTCGTATTGCGTGTAGGGAACGTTCGAGGGGTGTCATTTATTTTCGAAACCGTGATCCAGAACCGTTTCAACCAGATTCGAAGAATCTTAAGTGTATTTCAGCGTAATTAGCGGCGCGACCGTTATTGACTTTCAGATCCAGCCCACCCACGCCGCATTCGTCGAGTGCAGCACCGTCCCCGCCCCTGTACCACCGATACTACCAAGACTGCAACACCGTCAACACCAGCGGCAATTTACCGATCACGTTGCACAAATACTGAGAATACCGGAATTCAAGGCCTCATCATCGAGGCCTTGAAGAGCACCACAGCGACCACTACGACCCGAGTCTGGTATTCGTGAAGCAGGAATGGCCAACTTCCACGGAGGAGCTGTCCAAAGAATGGAACTAGATAAGTCCCTAGAAATCCGACGGAGAACATTCATCGCGCGTGTTCGAGCTGACGCGCGACACGCATAAATTGTAGATAGTTCGTTCACGGAACGAGAGCCGTGAGCGTGTATTTAAAAAACGTTTGTAGGCGCAGCAGTGGATGTTAAACAAATAGGAAAAATTTCATAGCGATCCCGATAGCAGACCTGGGCGGGTGTCGTTCGCATAATCGCGTGAACGTTGATCGTCCGTTGCAAGCATAAAATGCAATGCTGCTTGACACTCGTAACACGGTCTTATTTGCCTGCTGTTTTTTTTGTTATCGGAAGAACATACAGGGTAACATCGTTCGATTGTGTACACTTTGTTTTCTCGATTATATTTTTTTTCTCGATTATAATCGCGATTTTCTTCTTAATCGATCGTATAAGAGAAAATATAATTGTCTGATCGGGGGTAGATTTCGGTGCGTTCGAAATTGTGAAAGAACTTTTGTTTATCGAAATTTGAGACGACTAGTGAAGAAGTTGTGCTTATAATCTCGATTTTCCTCTTAATCGATCGCATAAGAGAAAATAATTGTCTGATCGGGGGTAGATTTCGGTATGATCGAAATCGTGAAAGAACTTTTGTTTATCGAAATTTGAGACGACTAGTGAAGAAGTTGTGCTTATAATCTCGATTTTCCTCTTAATCGATCGCATAAGAGAAAATAATTGTCTGATCGGGGGTAGATTTCGGTATGATCGAAATCGTGAAAGAACTTTTGTTTATCGAAATTTGAGACGACTAGTGAAGAAGTTGTGCTTATAATCTCGATTTTCCTCTTAATCGATCGCATAAGAGAAAATAATTGTCTGATCGGGGGTAGATTTCGGTATGATCGAAATCGTGAAAGAACTTTTGTTTATCGAAATTTGAGACGACTAGTGAAGAAGTTGTGCTTATAATCTCGATTTTCCTCTTAATCGATCGCATAAGAGAAAATAATTGTCTGATCGGGGGTAGATTTCGGTATGATCGAAATCGTGAAAGAACTTTTGTTTATCGAAATTTGAGACGACTAGTGAAGAAGTTGTGCTTATAATCTCGATTTTCCTCTTAATCGATCGCATAAGAGAAAATAATTGTCTGATCGGGGGTAGATTTCGGTATGATCGAAATCGTGAAAGAACTTTTGTTTATCGAAATTTGAGACGACTAGTGAAGAAGTTGTGCTTATAATCTCGATTTTCCTCTTAATCGATCGCATAAGAGAAAATAATTGTCTGATCGGGGGTAGATTTCGGTATGATCGAAATCGTGAAAGAACTTTTGTTTATCGAAATTTGAGACGACTAGTGAAGAAGTTGTGCTTATAATCTCGATTTTCCTCTTAATCGATCGCATAAGAGAAAATAATTGTCTGATCGGGGGTAGATTTCGGTATGATCGAAATCGTGAAAGAACTTTTGTTTATCGAAATTTGAGACGACTAGTGAAGAAGTTGTGCTTATAATCTCGATTTTCCTCTTAATCGATCGCATAAGAGAAAATAATTGTCTGATCGGGGGTAGATTTCGGTATGATCGAAATCGTGAAAGAACTTTTGTTTATCGAAATTTGAGACGACTAGTGAAGAAGTTGTGCTTATAATCTCGATTTTCCTCTTAATCGATCGCATAAGAGAAAATAATTGTCTGATCGGGGGTAGATTTCGGTATGATCGAAATCGTGAAAGAACTTTTGTTTATCGAAATTTGAGACGACTAGTGAAGAAGTTGTGCTTATAATCTCGATTTTCCTCTTAATCGATCGCATAAGAGAAAATAATTGTCTGATCGGGGGTAGATTTCGGTATGATCGAAATCGTGAAAGAACTTTTGTTTATCGAAATTTGAGACGACTAGTGAAGAAGTTGTGCTTATAATCTCGATTTTCCTCTTAATCGATCGCATAAGAGAAAATAATTGTCTGATCGGGGGTAGATTTCGGTATGATCGAAATCGTGAAAGAACTTTTGTTTATCGAAATTTGAGACGACTAGTGAAGAAGTTGTGCTTATAATCTCGATTTTCCTCTTAATCGATCGCATAAGAGAAAATAATTGTCTGATCGGGGGTAGATTTCGGTATGATCGAAATCGTGAAAGAACTTTTGTTTATCGAAATTTGAGACGACTAGTGAAGAAGTTGTGCTTATAATCTCGATTTTCCTCTTAATCGATCGCATAAGAGAAAATAATTGTCTGATCGGGGGTAGATTTCGGTGCGTTCGAAATTGTGAAAGAACTTTTGTTTATCGAAATTTGAGACGACGAGTGAAGAAGATGTTGTGCTACCGTCGTAGGAGAAGCGAACGAAGCGTATCGTCTGAAAAATACGATCGTTCGATAAGTTTGAGTGAGATTAGAAATTGCGGCGGGGTGGTTCTGAATATGGCGGAAAGGGACGATTGATTGTTTGGAACGGATGCCCAGGGCTGCTACGTCGAGGGAAGTGTTTACCGTAAAGTATTCAAGTAACTCAACGTAACTATGCTAGCTGATTTCTACTTTGATTACCGGCGGCTGGAACGAACGAGCCCGACGATGCCGCGAACTAGGTCGCGAATAAGGGAAAGAAACGAGAGCCGCCCCCTCGCCCCCCTCGGTCCCAGGCACAAGCCCGTCGAATCTGTCGACGCTTTGAGAATCGTTATCGCCGCCGAAACACGTGTTTTCAAATATGAAAAAAAAAGAAACGAGTACACGTGTTGTATTTGTGCGCGGCCGAGGGATCCGTGGATTGACAAATAACCACGAATCGGTGGTGGCCGGAACAACAAATCTTTTCCTCCGGTTTCGAATCACGGAACAGACGCGCGGAGCATGATAAGCGAAACACGACTTGGTTAAAAAGCTACGAATAATTGATCGTTCTGTCATGTTTCGAGCGACTGCTTCGTACCCCTTTCGAATTTCGACGAGTCTTTCGCACCCCTTGTCTGACGAGTCGTGCGCGCAGGATCGTTAATTAAATCGTGCTTGGAACAATTTTAGCAAAGAAAGAACGCGTATATTGCTGTCTTAGTCTTTCGATATAATTTCTCAAATTTACATTTCCGAAGAGATTCGGATTTGAATCGTATTTCGATCGTCGGTCGAGGTTACGTTACAAATGTTATTGAAAAACATGGGTACGTTGCTGCCAATTTTTCCTTTACGAATCTGTTCTTGAAAAGACACGAATTCAACCCTCTCGCGATCGTTAAGTTACATTTTTAAAGCGAGAGTGGCAGAGAGACGGGTGCGTTGCTAGCCATTTTTAAATTAGATTTTTAAATGAAACCGCGATTGAAATAGTGTCGAAAGAACCATAAGTATGCTTATACAGGCCCTGAGAACACAGCTGGGTTAATTATCGGAGCAAAATGAAGTTTTCTCCCAGCAAATTGTAATAGCGAGGATTACGATGATTGCGAGAGGAACCGAGAGACAAGGGGGTTGGTTTTAGCGATTTCCCCCGGAGGATCTTCCCCAGCGAATACGGAGAATATTTGAAACGATGATTTCATCGTCCTGGCGGAGTCTAATCGCTGTTATCACGGCGACGGTTATTCGTTAATGAATCCGAGCGAGACGAGCCGGGGGGAATAATAGCCGTGAATATCGATGACGATCATCATCATCGCCTGAACAAACAAAGGAGGCAGCTCTTCCCTGACCTATCGTTTCCTCGAGACACGAGACGCGCGAAATCCGCCGCGATCGACGGCTCGTCGCGCGATCTACGCGCGCGAGATTAATCATCGAATAGAAAAATAATATATCGTTCGAATCCTGTGTTTGGCTATATTCCGCGGTGCACTTTTGCTGTGCGCAGCAGCCTTCGTTCGAACGAGTTGCTCCGCGGCAAAAAGCGTTTACAACCGTTGGACAATCAACGATTCTATTTTCGTTCGATTTTGTTTTCTTTTTTTACGCCATCGAAACTCGCGCTTCCTGCGACAAACCGTTTCCAATCATTTTTCTTCCTTTTTCGCGGCAGTTCTCTTTTTTTCTACCGGTTGCGTTAAACGAAATCGAACTTCTGCCCGCTAATCGCTGCTTTAAAAATCTTTCGCTCGATGATCCGAACTTGTTCGTTTTCGAGCGAATCGTTGTTTTGCTGTACGAGAGAATTGTAAATGATATAGAGTTACAAGGGAATGCAATATACGGCTAGGGAAATTTGTGGAGAAGTGTGAAACGAAGAACGAGCTCGTAACTGTCTCGTCTCGCGTGTTTAACGAACGGAAATATTGAAAACGGTCCCTTTCGGATCGAGGATCAAGAAGATGGACGCGCATCGCATTGGCGGAAATCGTGTAACGCGTTTTTCTGCCAGCAAGAACAACGGAGTCATTGAAAGTTTCTCTTCTTAGGCAGTTTTCACGGGGGTGAAATTATGTGTATGTGTCGGTGTAAAAACAAACGAGTGATCATGTTTCCCTCCCAAGGATCACGAGTCTCGTCCTTGTGCATTTATTCGTGACGTCATTCCTCGCGACGTTCGGCGAGAGCTGCGATAATATACATATATATATTTATTTGATATACCGATCATGTGAATAATAGGAACGATCGAAACGACGTCGTATCGTAGATAGATCTCTGCGTGTATATTATAAAAAAAAGAGTATAAATATATATATATATATAAATATACATATAAATAGTTATAGTATATTGTATAGATGAAGGTATATATGTATAAATAGACAGATATTATATATATATATGTATACAAAAACGTATTGGTATTATCGATTAATTAATGATATCACCTATTATCGTAGGATGAGTCGTGCGGATGCGATAACTTACGAAAAATAAACGTAATGAATCAAACGAAACGATAGCTTGTGTTCTTTTTAATCCCTGAAACCCGGTTTTGATTATCTTATCATTTTTCTCAATTTCATTGTGATTCGATGAAATACCTAAATTAGTAGTAACTGCATCAAACTGGAAACAGTTTGCTCAATTTCAGGGTGGTTCCATCGATTTCTACGTGAAGCAGCGAGCCATTAGAATTTCACGTAGCATACGTCGTTCACACATGAGCGAGAATGATCTTTGACTAGTTTCTGAAATTTATATTTACTGTAACATATTCGAGTAAATTCAATTGTACTGGGATGTTTAGGGCTTAAATACTATCCACTATATGATAAATTTATTTATTTATTGATTTATTTATTTATTTATTTATTCAAACGGGTAGGATAAACCCAATAGTGCAATGAATTACGTAAGAGTCGAAAGCTGACGACGTGTAATACAATTAATTGCTATTTAACAACTTTTTCATGTTTGCCTGCGATTGACCTCAGTGCCGCTGAAAAAATCAAGCTTGTCGGTGAATTTATTAGCGTACATGTACATAGATCCTTGCGAACGATCCGATCTTCGAATATTACATCCGCGTACATCTTAAATATAAGTCTCTATGACGTTCTAGTTTCGGTTTCGTCAGTTTGGATTATTTTGATTTCTTGGCAATTTTACTTAAACGTTGAATACCTTTATGTTAACACTATGCCGTCCGCAGATCTTAGATATGATTCTGTTGTTTGACGCCGGCATAATGGCTTGGAAATTTTAGATTTTAAAAAAGATTTCGAAGACGGCGGTAATATAAATTCCTAAAATTAAGATATGTCATCCTAGAATTTTCGTACTTAATTCTTAGTTAAATAAACACGATGCTATAGTTAGTTCGCTGCCTTTTAACGCCCAAGAAATATAGTTCAAATGTTATTTCAGTTTATTAAAATGCCACCAAAGTGGTACCATCGGCATACAACAGATAGTTTTTGCATGGCACCCAGCGTGGTGCCACCGGACCGCATAGTGTTAACCCTTTGCACTCGAAGCCATCTTAACTTTAAATCTAAATGAACTTTTCTGACTTACAGTATTTCCATTTTATACGACCAGATCCGTTTTATGCATATGAAATTGAGTCTTGTGACTCGTACAACAGTTGGGATTTTAACAATTTTTTATATCTATTTTTTGATCGTGTAAAACTTATCTTGAAACGTGGTGTAACAATTTTAGCGGTGCGTCAGTGTCACCACTCGAGTGCAAAGGGTTAATATACTTATACCTTTCGACTCGCTTAGTTTGTAAGTCAGAGATTCGCTTATTTCGCGCGCCTTTGTATACTTATTATCGGATTTTATTTATTATTGGGTTGGCAACTAAGTAATTGCCGATTTCAGTTATAGATGTCTCTCACTCCCATTTTTATGATATCCGTAAATGTTATATTATAATATTATTATTATTATTATTATTATGTTATTTTTTATTATCCGTGAATGTTAGCAACTGGACAAATTGAATGCAGCGGTCAAGGAAAAGCGACCAGAATCGGTCGATCGTAAAGGTGCCATTTTCCAGCAGGACAATGCTAGGCCGCACACGTCTTTGTCCACTCGGCAAAAATTGATGGATATTGGTTGGGAATCGATGTTACACCCACCATATAGCCCTGATCTCGCGCCATCGGATCACCACTTATTTCGATCCCTGGACAACTCCCTTCGTGGTAAAACTTTTAACGACGATGACGCTGTAAAATCTCACTTAACTCAGTTTTCGGCCGAAAAGGATCAGACTTTCTACGAGCGTGGAATTTTCAAGTTGTCGGAGAGATGGCAAAAGGTCATCGAACAAAATGGAAAATACATTACAGATTAAACTTCGTTCCAAGTAAAAAGAAACTTTTTATTTCATCGAACAAATCGGCAATTACTTAGTTGCCAACCCAACATTATGAACAGTTGAAAACAGTCGCCGGGGCAAAGCGCCGCGAAGCTCCGAATGACCGAATCGCAACAAGTTTGCTACCTTTTACACGCTTCGAACATTTCATCGTTACACTTGTAAAACTATTATCCGGTGTAAACGGTTCCAGCGTGTTTATTGGTCTTGCGTAGAGGAGTGCTTGGAAAAAAAATATTTCGTTCGATTTCTCTCTCTCTCTCTCTCTCTCTACGTTTTTTCACCCCGTTTCAAGCGACGCGTGCGGCTACTTACAAAAATATATTGACGCAGGCAGGGGCGTGATAGCAACGCGGTATCGCGAGCGCGATGCGACTTTTTAATTAGCCGCGCGGCCAAATCGATCGCGGGACGAAAAATTGCGCTCGGCGCTGGTGGAACGGGCGACCGTGTGTACCGGGGATCGGCTTAATAAACCGACCGAAATTTCTCGATGAAAAGTTTCGCAGAGAGACACAAAAAACCGTGGGCCGGCTCGAAATCGCGATAACAATAATACGGAAAAGGGGACGCGGAAATTTTATGTTTCCGGCTGCGCTTTAAAAAGCCGATCGTAAACCCGATTTCTCGATATTTAATTGCAGAATGTGGAATAGCGCTGGAGTAGAGAAGTTCCTGACGAAAGATCACGATTTTTTTTTTTTCGTCACAGTGCGGCAAAAAAGACAGTCTTTTTGGTATACTGGTCAACATTTTTCTTTTTTAAATGTAACGTTTTAAATACTTCTTTCGTATTACTAACGTATAACCAACACAAGGACAAATAAGAGCGAGCATGAAGGGAATTGTTCGCTTATCTGTGTTTTAGCATATAAGCTTAAGTAAAATTGTTAAAATTCCGAGTTTCGCGAAACAATCTCGTGGTAGACATTTTACATGAAAATACACACGCGTTTGCACGAGAAGCGCTGCGCAACGTGCGATAGAATTTTTTCGAAATTCCCTCTATTAACTTCGATAATACGACGTGCGGAAGGATGAAGAGAGTCTCTTTGTCTATTTTTTAAATAACAACGAGCGCAAAGGGTTAATTCGCACTGCTGTACGGATCGATCCATTTGCACGGGGCACCCTATAAAATTCGACCACGTCGTTCCGAACGTCGTTTCGCGTTCGGATCATTCGGACGTACTCATCGCGGCCATCTGAGGCATTCCGATCCGGCCACTTTCGCGCGAGCAGATCGATTCCCGATTATTTCTAGTCGCAATCTGCGAAACATTATTCCGCATCGGCGGGGCTCGCGTGGGCGGTAATGGAAAGGTAAGAATATCTCGCAACGTCCGCTCGGTGGCCCGTTCGTTTCTTAATGTTTGCGCGATCGAACGACATCCGGACCGTGCGTAACACCGGCGGAATCCCGTACGATAACAATAACGCCTGCGAAACTGATTCACAGTAAATGTCATCTCCCGAAAACACATAAAAGCGCCGAGATTTACCGTGCCGTCGGAACACTCGGGGGTTACTTCGCCTCCTGTTTTCCACGTTACCAACAGGGAATTCGTGTTTTTAAACAGTCGGATAGCTTCTCGCCTCATGTTTCAAACACCGATTACCGAATTTAGCGGGCAACAATGTTTGTCCGCGCCGATTCGGTGTCCATTTTTGTCTTTCGGTCTCCGCCGAACGCGCGCGAGCCTAGTCGATGCTTCGGATGGCATGCGAACTATTAGGTCTACCGGAAAGTTCTGTCCGTTTTTCGATTGAAATATAACACAATTTTCGTACATTTAATCACATTTATTGTAGCATATACTTTCCATCGTTACTTACGACTTCTTGCCAGCGCGATGGCAACTTGTAAATGCCATTTTTAGAAAATGATTTATTTTTAGAGGCGAAGAACTCGACTAGTGCTCGGTTGACGTCAGCTTCAGTTTTGAATTTCTTTTTCCTGTAAAAGGTTTTGCAAAGAGAGAAACAAGCGATAATCGGAGGGTGCTAGGTCTGGGGAGTATGGTGGATGCGACAGAATTTCCCAGCCTGGCTCTGCGATTTTCCGACGAGTCGCCAAAGCAGCATGTGGTCCGGCATTATCATCGGTAGCCATGTTTTCACGATCGCGTCTCGCTTAACAATGACACGAGACATCTTTGTTTCAGTTTATTTAGGAGAGTACATGCGTGTAAATGCAACGATAAAGAGAGATAGTCATATATGTCTCGAATCAACGTGTGCATATGGATTGAAACTTGAAGCGACGCTATCGGACAGAACTTTCCGGTAGACCTAATATTTAGCGCAACGGTGAATTAAGCTACAGACAGAGCTGCGACAGAAGGATCGACTCAGAGATCGACTCACTGCACGGTAACTTTTTTCACGGTAAGGATAAGTGTAGATAATTACTGCGGTTTCTCAATGAAGGCGAACTTTGACAGAGAAAATAAGAGCTTTTACGCCAATAAATTGATAACTTGAGCCGTATCTATTATTCTTTAACTTGAATATTTACTTTCCTCAAAATATTGGATCTCTGAAAGCACCAATTTCATTAAAAAAGCGTAATGCAAAGAAACCATACGTGTGCATATATTACTGCGGTTATGTATCTGTTATTGCGAACCAAATACTGCGGACATTCCGATTACTGCGTGTCAAGATTGACATAACTCATTTTCTTTTAAATGTATAGAGGGTGTCCCAAAAATGTCTCGCAATCGGAAATGGCGGGTTCCTCGGATCATTCGAAGCAACTTCTTCCTTTACAAAAATGTTCTCCGAGGCACCGTTGACGAGTTATTAACGAAAAACAGCGACCAATAAGAATCGAGTACGGCTGACGCGAGGCGGCCCAGCCAACCAGCGCGCGAAGCCCAGTTCCGCTCGTTGGTTCGGTCGCCTCGCGCCAGCCGAGCTCGCCTCTCATTGGTCACTGTTTTTC